ATAAAGGCTATTTACTCAGAAATTTGCTCCCTCACAGTTTAGTTATCCTGTTTGAGCCGGTGGCAGCTCTATAATACTATTTTAAATTCTTCAGGCCATGAAAGTGCTTGCTATTTATACCAATTTGGCAGTTAAACTGCAGCACAGAAAAAGCTTTAGCTCCAGAGATATAAACTTCTGGTTTAAGCATAAATTACTAGAGAACCCAGTTCTTTTTTCTTGTAAGTGTAGTTCTCCTTGACATGAATCCCCAGAGATGTCTTATATGATAATTGATATTCCAAGAAAAAAGTGTAAAAAACAGCTAAAGAGGGATTTACATGTTTAATCTGATATATTAGATCATCTTTCCAAAACGAAATCTCTCTTAACTGTGGTAATTGCAATTAATCCATGTCTACTCCTGTCAATAAATCTTGGAGGGTAGCATAATAGGTTTTTCAAAAATGAATCTTTGCAAAGCTGGAGTCATACTTTCTGTTTCAGCTCCATGAAAGTATGCATAGAGATTAAGACACAATATGGGTTGTAATGAGACGTGGGCTGAAATTGTGGCTCTATTTCCTAATTAAACATTCAGGGCTTCCCAAGCCTGAAGTAGGAATTAGGAACAATAGCCTCTTTTTTGAAGTGAATGTAAGCATTACACATTATAAGTATATAAAGCACTAAGCAAAGTTAGGAATAGAGTTAATGCCCAATGAGGAATTTATATTACTTTATATATAGTTAAACCTTAAGTGTGTTACAGTAGTTGCATTTTTCTCAGCTATTTTAGTTACGCAAAGGCTAAGTCAAATGTTTATCTTCTCTGTAGTGCATTCTTGAAAAAAAATTAATTTCATCTTGGAAAGCCTATAGGTTTATAATCTGCAAATTCTAATTTAATGATGATCTGCAACAGAGCATCCCTTACTAATGTAAAATTCATACCCTTGTCACCCTAGCTGGATCACAAGCTCCCTGGATACAGAAATCACATTTATTATGGTCTTTGCATCTGTGAAGGTATCCAATTTATGATCTTACACTGAATTTGTAGTCAGTAAGTATTTATAAACTGAAAGATAAACTACATATAGGAGTAAATAAAAAGTATCAACCAATAATAAAAGTATTTCTTATTTTCAAGATTTTTTTCTTTAAGTATTTAATGTGTGTCGAGGTTGCTTCACATATGTTTGATCAATAAATGGTTGCAACTAATTTTCATTTGTAGAGCATGAATACCACTGGGCTGAATAACTTCTGTACTGCTTTTGTGCTCAAGTTCTGAGAAGACTTAAAAACACCTGCTTTGTCTTTCTTCCAGTAATCTCAAACTATGTCTATATAATCAGCACAACTAATATTTGTTAGTTGCAGATTATGGATTTTCAAATTTGCCTACCTCCTAAAATATATATTTGTATCCTCAAGGTCACTACTCTTTGTTTTCCAAACCATTCACAGACATATACAAAGCTACAGAACCTTTGAATTGTGTGATACACACTTTCCCAGATAAAGTCAAACAAGGAGACACTTTAGTTTCTTGTTTCATGGTTAATTGTCTTTTTCATAGTTTTTTTTTTAAATGTTGTGTTTTTCATGCTTTTGCTCTTTATTGATGAAACTGCTATCTTAAATGCTTCAGGATTGAAATGCTGGGTCATGTTCATAGGAAAAAGAATATTATGAGGTGTTTTACAGAGAAAGTGCATTCAAAAGGTTTTCATGATGTTACCATGAATTCAGTCAATGAATCAGCAATATTAAATATTATATACTATACTGAGGTATTGCTTAGTTGACCAGTGATGAGGACCATGGCCTCACAGGAAATTAATCCTGCATTTCTCCTAGAAGCAGTGGTTATTGTGTGCTGATTCTGTACTTACAGTGACTCTGTGGAACATAAATGCAGCAAATACTAAGAATCAATTATACCACTCTTATTAATCAACATTTAGTGAATCACTGTTCTTTGGTTTGTGAAAGTACGCTAAAGCTGATGGAATCAGATAACGTTTCTATTGAATTGCATGCTCTAATAATGCTTTCTGTACCTCCCAATAACTTTAGGCATCATAAGATCAAATAATTGAATGCCTTAAGAGAGCTTTAGGAATAAACTATAATAATAAACTATAAACTATAGTGTGTCTCAAATTTACCCCATTCCCACTTTTTGCCATAACGATTATATTCTGTAATAAGTATTGACATGCCATTTGCAGAGATGAAATAAATATCTGATTTTTGACTCTGAAATGTCTTTGTTCCTAAGAATTTCATCACATGCTCAGTTTGTCTGTCTTTATGCAGCAGTCAGTCATTACAGGAAAACACAATAGTCTCTAATTATACCCTCTCAAATTGAAAGAAGTCCTACATAGCCATTGTACTAAAGGCCCTAAGATACAAGGAAATGATGAATATATCGATTAAAAAAAAAATAGAATGACCATCCAAGGAAAGAGAGGGAGAGATACTCGAGATAGAGAGACAGAGAATAGAGTTTGAATGTAGACCAATTTGTCCCTATAGGGATTTACATTAAAGTTAAATTCATTCAATTTTAGTTGAATGACTACCCATTTAAAAAGCTCTGCAAAACCATGAAAACAAACAGAAACATGTACATGCATCCCTGTTTAATGTTTTTCTACCATATATACTTTATATTCTGTTGTGGGCATAGAATGCTATTTTAACTATGGAGAACATTTAAAAAATCAGAAGTATTTGAGATCTGCTGGAGTACACATATACACATCAAAAGATGGTGGATTTAGAAGAACAGTACTCTAGGAGTAGAAGGCAAGTTTTTAGTCACTTACAGATGGAAAACTATTGGCTCTGTAGAATACCTTAGATGAGGCTGCGATATGATAGCCTGTTTCTTCAAATTTCTAAGTGTTTGCAGGCAAGACAAGGCACCTTCTTTATTGTGGTCTTGCACCTCAACATATCAACTGAGAGAAGTCATGCTGTATCAGGCTAAGAACCAAGTAGAAAGAGGTTTTTTAAAAAAAAAAATCACCCTCTGCAAACAACATTAGTTAGAGTCCAAATATCTAAGTCTTTTGGATTCATATATTCAGAAGAACAGATAACCTCTATAACATATATTACTCAAAAAGACCAAATCTCCATAGGAGTATCTGATTTTGTTAATAGTGGTTTGAGCCTGCTTTGACTAAAACATTCAAAACTCACAGGAAGTGAACTTAGAATTTAGGTGCAATGAGTTTCGTGATTACTGGGTGGGTTGTATAGCAGGAAAAAGGAGCATTAACTGTATTTATATTTCAGGGTGAAAAGTGTTAAGTGATTACTGTGTGAGTTGTATAGTCTCCTTTTGTCCATAACATCATTGACATATTTGTCATGTGGAAGACCAAGTGCTCTCTTGACAGATTGTTTTGGAAACAGAAGTTTCTAAGATGGACAAACGTGTCTATGGAGGTGGTCATTTCTTACCCCTAGGCCAATTTTAGTAGGAAATTCAAGACTTAAGATTTGTAGTCAAATAAAAATGTGATAGAATATAATATGTACCTCAAAGTAGATACCATAAAATGACATTTTTGCATCTCTACTTGTTCTGTAAAAGTGATCTCAAATTTCATAATTATTCCAAAAGAAATTAGAGAATAAAGTTATATAATAAAGGACAATACTATAACAAATTGGGGAATGATGGTAATTTCAATGCAAAGAAATAACAGTAATACTGCTGTACTAAATATGTGACCAATCATGCTTAATTGAAGCTATTATTGCAGCAAGAAAATATAACAATTTGACTCTCAGGGACTTTTAATTTACAGTATTATATTTGTGCAATGTACAGCCATAAAGGAACAAAATAAGTTTTTATAATTGTATGGTGAAAAATAAAAACATCAATATAAGTTCTGTAAATCCCAGAAAATAATAATATAACTGAACTTAGCTGAATAGAGAAACATTTTCTTCAGTAGATTTCTTAGATTAGAGGGAAAAAAATCATTGTTATAACAAATTTGTCATCTCTTTCTCTAACCCGTATTTGACAATTTTTCTCATCTCCTCTATTTCTATTTCTCATTTTCACTATTTTATTATCTGATATTAGTAAGAACCAAAATATAAAGCTATCTTTGGACTATCTTCTGTGGTCCTATGTTTGAGATTTAATGTCACTCTCTTATGAACACTTATGGGTTTTTTTAAAGATGGCATTAAAGTCTCTTGAAGATCACTTAATTTCAATCAGATGTAAAATGTATGATTTTCAGTTACTGCTATGAAGAGATGGGTGTTGTTAGGTCATTTTTGTGTCTACCAACAAACTTCTGAAGTTGCTTCAGTTTCCCTTATCAGAATCATTACTTAACAAATTTTGATAGTATGTTTCATATAGACAGAAAATTCATAGCTGGAACTAGCAACATTCTAGTGGGAAAAAAGGAGTATACACTGTATGTATATTACAGGGTGAAAAGTGTTCTAAGGTATAAAAGAGAATTGCTAGAGAGAAGAATTTCAGTTGAGAGGGTCAATATGAGCTATATTAAAAAGGGGACATTTTCACCTGAGTAGCTGGGATAATATGTCCTAGGAAAAAAATACAAAAAATAATGGGAAAAAAATTTTAAATATACAAGAGTCTGTGGAAAGGAAAATAGTGGATGAAGGGTGGAACAGCATGTAAAACCCAAAACACAAAAGCCTTGTTCATTGATAAAACAGTTTGAATTTTACTTAATAGACAGTAAAGCATCACTGTAAAAATTTAATGAGAAAACAGTATCACAGTTCTAGTACATATAGAGTAGACAGTATAAGGGGTGTGAGGTAGGAAGGTAATTAAGAGTTTCTTGCAATATGCTTAGGTAAGAGGGAAAACTCCACTACTTGTATATTTCATATCCAATTTATAAATTTTCTAGATTTTTTTAAGGGTAAATACACCCATTAAGTTAGAATTTTTAGCCAAGGTAAGTTTGATAACTCATTTTTTTTTATTTCAGATTTTTCATTATTCATATACTGCTTCCTATGTGATTTACAACATACACACTAGGTAAGTTCTTTGACTTTCTGATTTTCATGAGCAATTGTCAAACTCAGTTGTTCACTTGATGCCAATTTGCTTATTTAAAAAAATTACCTTTTTTCAAGGGAAGTTTGGGAGTTAAATCCTCCAGAAGTAGAGGACTCCGTCCTGCAGTATGCAGCCTGGGGTGTCCAAGGGCAGCAGCTGGTAAGCACACACTTTAGTATGCAAGTACTGTCAGCGCAGCTTGTGGAACATGTTTACAGAAATCACTCTCTTGTACAAAGTGTCTCATTAGATTTGATTTTGTTTTCTACTTCTCTTGATATCTTCAGTATTCTAATTTAAGAATATATCAATAATACAATATATTTGATATAGTTGATGTAATTTAAAAAGTATTGTGTGATAACTCATATTGTTGATATTAATCTTATTTGATATATTAATTTAACAAAGTAACATGCTTATAGAGTATTGTAAGATAACACTGTTAGGAGTGAAACCTAGAAGAGATCCACATATTAACTAGGACCTAATTTTGCAGAGTCTAGTCACTGGAGAGTCCCTTGGAAAAAACTTTTATATTTTGAGTGGTTTCAGATGACACCTTTATTCTGAAAGGAATCTGCCATCTATACCAAAATAATAGTTTGATACATTTATGAAAGTACATTAATTCCATGTTTTATTCAGTGATCCCTATTTGATATTGATTCTTTATACTTCTGTATATTTGAGAAAATCACTAAAATAGTAAATGTCCATGAAAATCATTTGTCCTCTGATGGATGTTCTTCTGCATGAGCTGTTGAACTTGAGGAGATTGGTTAGTTTTGCTACGACTTCATTTCCTTTTTTTTCTTTAAGTGGTAACAATAACAGCACTTTATAATAGTGCTATTCTGGTTGAATGTATACAAATGAAACCATTCAAAAATTATTTAGCATATAATCATAACTGTTAATTTTTAGACTTTTTAAAAGGGAGATAAATATATAGTCATTTTTAATTATTTGGTAATTTCAGTCTTTCTACTTGTGTGGAGAAGTGGGCCCAAGTTCTATATAATAACAGTTTCCAATGTCGTTTGGAAAAAATTTTGAATAAATTTCACATTTGTCAAGGTTATCTTCTGTATGTATATAAGCATAAATTCAAAATCATTTAAAGGACATATCTTTCAAATGGCTAATGATCCATTTCATGTAACTATGACAGCTTTGTCAATATTTGAAGCGATCAGCAAACTCAGCAATATGATTTTATTAGAGATGAGTCACTACAATGTTTTAATTAGTTTTCCATAAAATTAATTAGAGGATTGCAGTATTTATAAATGAAGGACTAAGGACAATTAAATCCACATCATTAATTTTCAGTTTCTAATTGTTTTTCTATAAAGGAAACCTCTGATCTTAGAGAATAAATTGGCATAATTTATAGATAAAGAGGTTCTGATTTAGAATCAAGAATGGAGAATTTTCCAATAACACTAGGTTTGGGGGAAGGCAATTTTGAATGTGTAAAAAACTGGGAAAAAAAAAAAAACATGAATTAGAGAAGACAGTGAGTAGAGCACATTAGCTATAGTAAAAGTTTTATGGAAAGATATGTTTGGTCCTAAAACAGAAAAAGTATGCAAGGTATTTAAAGACTTCTGTTTTAAGACATGTGTCCTTTTCTTTTCAAAACTGGTTGTGTTATAAACACTGACATCATTCATTTAAATGTTTAAAAATTCATAATTACATATATTCACATGAATTGACATATAACAACAAAATATACTCATTTTCTTTCACAAAAAGGTGAAAGATTTGGGAAATAAAATGAAATTTTAATTTGAGAAGGAAAATCAATTTTACTTATTAGAAAAATATATGTTGAATTGCAAGACCTTCAGCTCAAGAATCAATTATTTATTTCTGAAGCATTATGTTAGAAGTTTAAATAGATAGGGGATTCCATATGTCAGTATTCTCCAGAAAGCAGAACTAATGTGGTATGTTTGCCTGCATATATGTGCAGTCTCTCTTCTGATAGACAGACAGACTGAATCACTGTCTGACACACAGAGGAATAGCAATATAGAAAGGATTATGTGCATATGGGGAGTGGTAAGTCTAAAAGCTGTAGCAAAGATTGTCATACCAAAAACTCAGTAAGTGTTAATGTTGCAATGTTGAGCAGTCTTGAGACAAACATTGTATTTGGGGAAACTTGTTTTACATATTATGATCTTCAACTCATTGGATGATGACCATCCACAGAGTTCTTTACTTAAAATCAACTCATTGTAAGTGTTAAACACATCTAAAAACACATTCATGAGGCTGTTCAATAACCTAGTCATGTTCACACATAAAATTAACCATCATAGGAAACCCACAGGGATTACAACTGAGATGAAAAAATGCAGAAAATGATGTACAAATAAACTATTATACTATTTTTTTTAAAAAATGTACATAAGATATGGAAATATGAGCCATAATTGAGAGCAAACTATTTTTCTAAATCCGCTGTACTAAATTACCAGAAATTTGGTGCTTATAACAATACAAATGTATTATCTTAAAAAAAAATTAACCATCACAGCATATTCAGCACTCAATAAGAAATACCTTTTCATTTGATTCCACCCATCCTTATCTTTAATAACTTTACAATGTTAATAACTCATTTAATTTTGAATTTTAGTAGTCCATTTTCTAATATTTCTTCCCCAATTGCTGGCCACCCAAATCCATTGACTACCTGTGATGCTTACTAGCTCCCAGAGGATTACAAAATGTTACAAAATGACACATATCTTCATGAGTGTGGCAATGGAGATAAGACAATGCAGAATATCACCTGGCTTTCCATTCCATCAAAGTACAAAAGCTCAGATTTTTTTCTACCTGAATCATCACTCTTTCTGATTTCCAGAAGTTGACCCACTGCTTCTGTGAGTCCGTCACCCCTCTTTGTATATCCAGTCTTTGCTTTCTCCTTTCACACATCTTTTTCAATGCCTTCTCTCCTCTCTAATATGTTCCCAACTTTTTCATATGCTAAGTGATGCCTATTTGTTTTATTCTAACAATCCTCTATTTTAGCTCAACTTATTTAAAATTTTATATAGTCAACTTACATTGCTATTTATTTGTATTTTATATTATAATATTCTACTGCTGATGTACATTAGTCATTTCCAGGAAAGTGAAATACAGAATATACTACACCTCTCTTTCTCCCTCTCTTCTTCCTTCTCTCTACCTCCCTGTATCCTTCCCTACATGCCCATGCTACCTTTTCTTCCTCTCTTCTTCTTTCTTTACCTCCTTCATGGGACTCATTTTAGTGAAAGGCACAATTGTATTTGATAAATTACTGGTTGCAATGAGAATCAATAATAGATTGACTGTGGACAGTGGGATACCAAAGAGAGTTTTGAGAACAGTGTAATGTGAAAAAAAAAACGTCATGTATGAAATGATAGGCCTGATAGATAAGCTGTGAGTAATTGAATCCAGAGACAGAGATGTAGGCTTAGACGCTTTTATTATATTACAGAATTTATAAGTATTATGAATTTATAAGTAGTAATACAGATAAAAATAAATGTGGATTTAAACTAAGATTTTAAGTTCGAAAATTTGATTTGGGTTCAACATTAAAAATTGTCTTATACTCATTCAAGTAAAGTAGATTATGTAAATGCTGTATTTTATTTCTATACATTTAGAAAAATTACTTTAGACTCTTTAAAAATACTTTTTAATAAAATACATACAAAAGACGCTACATATTTAATGTATAGAGCTTGACATGGTGATCTGTAATGTACCCATACCAGCATTATCACATTCAGTGCCATGAGTGCATTCAACATTTCGAATAGTTTTCTATGGTTTTATTGATTGACTGGTTTATTGGCTAGTGAGGAGAACACTTAACATTTGGCTCCATTTTTTGTTATCTTTAATGTTTTTTTGTCTATACTGGGTAAAATAAAATCATTATACTTTAGCTTGCACCAGCATTGGGCTTTAAAAATATTCAAAGTTTTACTTATAACTTATGAGTTAGAGAAATTATTATTTGTCCTTTTTTTATTACCTATACTGATGAAAGCTATCATTTTCAGTTAATTCTACAAACCTTTCCTTATCATCTGCATTTTTGCTGTTACTAGAGATTTATAGTTATATTAAAACTTATGTAATTACCAATAGCTCAATACTCAAGATTTTCAGTTCCCTGAATTGAAACAACTAATTAAGAGAAATTTTGAACAATTGTGTTCTCGTAAAAGTAAGATCTTAATCCGTACTGGTTTAAGTGGGTATTTAAGATAACATTGCTTTTTTGTAAATGTATCATTTTTCAAAGATGTTTTTGACATATGAAGTGTCCTTCTAAAAATCCATTATTTTGCCTTACATTCCATTTTGTCATTTTTTTTCAAAACAAAAGTAAATATTTTAATTTTCATCCACATATATTATAAAAATATTTGATACATGTGCAAACATACCCCCTCATGCATGCAGTCATATACAGCATCCATGCTAATACACACACATCAGTTGGAAATATGCACATTCGCCCTTTGCTACCTTTGTCACATACATTTTGTAATGAAATGTTGGGCTTCCAGTCCTAAGCATATCAGTGCTTCCACGGAAGTAAAGAAGCCAGTGAAAGTCAAGTTCTATTTCAAGTCAGTTACTCACTGCAGTGGGTACGGTACTGATTTCTAACTAGCACACTGAAGCCAGAATTGCTCTGAGGTGAAGCCAGAAAATTAACACCATTAGCACCCTCAATTGTCTACCATGAGGACTGTTTCCCATATAAATGAATTTGGATCAATTTTTGTTTATCTCATTCATCTTTATTAGTGGAGATAATTGAAAACAGGTTACTTTCATGTTATCTGGAACAAAATCTAATGTATTTAGTTCCAAGGAAGAAAATAAAAACAAAATCTCTTACCATTTCTAATGCTAGGTACAACTAAGCTCTAATTGGTCTCATTTTAGATTTGGCATCAGAAAAATCACTATCAAGAAGCTCATAGAATGTTTCTCCTCAGCATTCAGACTTCGAATAACTAACAAACCATAACAGTATTTATATATATAAGAACAAAAAAATATGCAATTACAGTGTATAAATTAAAAGAAAATTAATTTTCTATTTGAAAAATCATGTA